GATATGTGCAGACTCTACACATATCCTGTCTCCTACTCTATGCAGCAGAAACTAATTCCCTAATAATATTATTATTATAACATAATATTAATGTTATCATTTATGGTTGTCTATCGAGCATGATGCACAGTGTAAAATTATTTCCTTTTACAAATAAGAAAATTAATAACTGGAGACTTTAAATAATTGAAGATCAAACAACAGGCAGTGTCAGACCTGAAATGCAGACTCCAGAGCTCTGCCTTATTTACCACGAGAGGTCTCATAAATTCAGAGCTAGTAGATGAACTGCAAGGTTGAGAGGAAGCACCTCATCTTCAAAGACATAGAGGAGAATCCGGTTCTCAGAAGGTGAAAGCAATGACATTATTAACCCAGTTGTTCATAGATATGCTGAGGAAAGAATGGGAGAAATCTATTTTGTGGAGAAGTGATAGAAAGAATCTCTTCCTCTCTACCGCGGGAGCCCAGCGCCAAGGATGAGGAGCCACACAAGAGGGAAATGTATAAGAAATGCTTTTGGAGTCATTTTCTTGGAATATGAATAAAGTCACATCCAAATACATTCAACCTTCTGAGAAATTTTCCCGCCCATCAAATATGTGAGATTAAAAAAAAAAAAAAGAACAAGGGGGGAGTCTTGGCTCATCAGAAGCTGGCAGCTTCCAGGTTAAATCTGATCTGAGGCCTCGCCATTGGCCCCCTGCTGCATCTAGGCTGCAGCATCAAACACTGTTCTGGGCTCCGCATTCCAGGGCTTTATTGTTTAACCATCCATGAGACCAGAATCAGATGTTACTGTCATAATTTACCAGGTGGGGATTCACCAGACCAGAGTGAAGCTAAGTAGGTCCATGTTTCATTTCAACTATCTAAAGTTGGGAGGTTTTTTTTTTTTAAGTAATAAAATCGTGAGATTGTGTCTGTCTTGTATCACTGATGTTATTTGTAGATCTTTTCAGTGGGTTGTTTGAGTTTAAGTTAAAAGGTGGAATTTCACTTGTATTTAATAGCGAAAAGATTCTCTTTGCTCCATGTAATTAAACAAAAAGTGAAGCCATAGTAAACATCATAACATGCTTGGCCCAGAGATAGAAAATTGTCCCCTTTTCAGGTTGATGTAAATAGGAAGGAGAAGTGTTGTTCTTTTATCACTTAAGAGCTTCTGGGGAAGGTTCGTGAAAGTACATTTATATCACTATTTACACAATGATTAACTTCTCACACAGTTCTCAAATAACAGGTTTAAATATTTTTCATTCTAATATGGAAGGACAAACATTGTTGACCTGCATTTCCTCTTCAGTTCCCTTTGGATGCGCATCATAAAAGTATCAGGGGAGAGATGGCCGAGTCTCTAGTTATTACATGCACTGAAATGGGGATACCTTCAGCCTGTGAGTGAGAGATCAAATAATGACTCCACTCCCAGACGCCGTGGTGCTTCTCAAGCTGCTTTGAAAATGCATCTCAGTGCTGAGCCAAACCAATCAGTAGCCAGAGTTTTGTTCTTCAGGTTCTGGTTTTGTCCACTGTCAGTGGTTTGCACAGACTCCTTTACGCTCTGTGTAGAGGTCTCATCAGAGCCCAGATTTTCCTTAACCAGATTCACCAAAGCAACCTGCAGTCTGGTTTCATCTCCTTGGAGGCCGGAAAGGCATGTAGCTTCTCATTTGCTTGATTTTCTACTTTCAAAATGAGGGCTTGCCCCGCCCCAAGAAATGGAGAGAGCAGTTCTCCCCCCTGCTGCTGAGATCAATGTATTAAAGCAGATGTTGAAGGATGAAATGTCATAATAGAGAAGCATCTTAATCTTTGTGATATTGTGTTCACGTTTGTAAGAATGTGATACTCTCTAAGAAATTTGCAGACCTAAGTAGAGATGATTTTATATGGCTTACTATTTCCTTAAACTATATGTCAATACAAGGACTTTCCAAAAAAAATTATCACGTTACTTGATTCTGATGCCTGTGCTGAGCCAAAGGAATGGCCTCCTCCTTCTGACCCCCTTATAGCAGGGGACAACACACTGTGGCTCCCAAGGGGAGGCTGGCCCACTGCCTGTTTTATAAATACATTTTATTGGAACACAGCCATGCCCATTCATTTACACGGTGTCAATGACTGCTTTCCTGCTCCAAAGATAGAGTGGGCAGGACAGAAAGCCTGAAAGGCCCGACTCTTTGGCCCCTTCCAGAAAACATTTGCCAACTTCTGGAGATCAGCATCGTGTTAGAGTCATGGGTCTTCTCTGTTACTAGCTGTGGGTGCTGCAGACGAGTTATTTGACTCCTATAAGCTTTAATTTCCTCCATTAAGAAGTAAAAGATACCAAGGATTATATATTTAAATCAGATAATACATTTAAAGCCAGTACTGTCCTTATCCTCGGCCTACAAATATTATGGACGGGCCCATGCAACGCTCTGAGTGCGGTGCCGTGGCCAATAGGAAGGAGCCAGTATAAATGGATGGATGTGTAAAATAGCTCATTACTTTTGTCGATGTTATCTTCGTTATTCTTGTCTTCTGCCATTTTGTGGCCATAGCTCGGAGACCCCGTGTGGAGATTCCAATGTTCTCTTCTTCCACTGCTCTGCCACATGGCAGCTCTGTTTCCTACAAGGAGACAGAAAACGAGTACTAAAATTTTGTGAATGGCGTGGTTAGGAGGGAAGTAGGTGAAGCTGTGTGGTTAGGTGTGAGGAACGCAAGGATCAGCCAGTCCAGTCAAAAGCCAGACAAGCAGGAGAACATATGGAGCGTGAGTTTGGAATCTGAAACACGTGGGTTTGTGTCTTCACCCTCCTATACCGGCTGTGTGACCGAATTCAGGAAATCAGTTCACCTTTCTCCTTGTCAGCGTCCTTAGGGTTAAACACCGCTCACAGTGAGTGACCCACAGGGACGCGAGAATGGGCTGGACTCCTACACGGAACGTCCTTGGTCCATGAGATGCGCTCAGCAAACATTAGTTCTTCATGGCGCTGCTGTATGAAGGCAGGAGCAAGAAGACAGAACTGTGGGTGCCTGCACGGGGTACACGCATTTCAGGACTTTGTTCCCGTGTCGCCATTCCTGACCATATTAAAATCTCAACTTCCCACCCCGGACTTCCTCTTCCTCTTTGCTTGATAGATTGTTACCCATGTAACATATTCTGCTGTGGGGCACACTCTGTGTTTTATTTGCTTATTGGCTGTTTGTCCCCACCCATGTGGGTTCCACGAGGACAGGAATTATTGTCTGTTTTGTCCACTGATATGATCTCGGTGGCAGGACACAGTTGGGGGTTTATTAAGTATCTGTTGAACGGAAGAACAGAGCCCAGAAGGCTTTCGTGTGGCCAGAGATGCACCCTGCTACGTTAGAGCTGGGATCTGGATGAGGCTGGAGAAGCAAATGGCAAGCATCCTCATGAACTCGAGCAGCCATGGTGGCCTATAATGCATTGGCATGGCTGGTTTTAGAGACTGAGAGACGTTTAGAAACTCTTGAAACCTTTAAGGCCCAACATGAATTGTGGAAGTGGGAAGAGGTTTTGGGTTTTTATTATTTTTGTGTTAGTGACTCTACGTTCTAGCATGTTCAAGGTTTCTGCACAGTGCTTATGGCAATCAAATCCAGCCTCCTTAGCTCGAATCTAGCAAGTGGGGTGGTGACTCCCTTTGTTTGGCCTAACAGTGAATCCTCAAAGCTTAGGGAGCTGGACCAACTGACTGAGGGGATTTGAAGTATGAGATTGGAGCTCGAACTTGAACTGATTCCCAGCATCTCCATGTCAGAAACCTCAAATGCTTCTCTTGTTTTTCTACCCTTGATACCATAGACATTTAGAAAAGTGAACAGAAGTGGAGAGATTTTTTTTTTAAAGGAGATATGTTTAGAAATGAGACTATTTAAAAGTGTTTTCCTTTACAAAACCAATCTGCCCCAGTAGACTGGAGTTCTTTGAGGGCAGCACCTGTGGTTTATTCATAATTGCATTCTTAATGCCCACTATATTGCCAGTCACATATAGAGAGAGAATGAATAAATAATTGAACAAGTAAATGGGCTATATTAATTTTGGGCTTCTTATGGCACCTAATGTCTAACTGATGTAGGATTTCTTTACACAAGCTGGCTTCATTCTTAAAATAGTCCGTAATAATTTGTAGTCTATTATCCAGGGAAAGAAGTGGGTCTTAACTGAAATGCGCATGGCAGTGATGGATATAAATTAAATGTTTGTGATTTTCTGAGGCCAGTCGACAGCATAGATGGTGTGCGGGACCACATTCCAGCCAAAGGGTTTTAGAGCTGTGCTATCGACACGCCACTCAGATAACATGAGAGATTCTTCATGTCTATTTAGAAAGCTGAGCCAGAGTCAGCAAGAAAATCCTATCAATACGGTTTGTCTGTGATGGGCTCCAAGCCGCAATGCTCAGGAGCTGGCCCGTGGATGAGATGATTTTCCTTCCATATAAGGACTTTGACCAGAGTGGGAACATACCAGGCGGCACTTCCCTAGAGACAGACTGCCAGTGCTCCTTGGTGACCAGCATTCCTCCCAGGCGCTGATAGGGAGCTCTTTGGGGGGACTGGCTCTCACAAAGCCACGACGTCACCCACTGCGACACAGTCTAGATTTAGACTCGTGGTGCCAATATGGTTATACGATGTCAGTGACAAAAGACAGCAAGAGTCAGAGGGTCTGTTCACAACCCAAGAACACACAAAAGGGACGTCTGCTGATGCTGCTGAAATCCAGGGCAGTTTGAGCCTAAACAATGAACCTGTTATTCTCCACACTAATGCCAGAGGGCTAGCAATGTGCTGGAATAGCGCATCAGAGAACCAACATGTAAATACTGTGTAAGATGGGGGAGTTTATATTTGCTTCTCTGTCATGGGGCAAGTTTTATTTGAAAGTTAGTTATATGGGACCAAATACTCAGGGGGACTCCACTGCACCCCCGAAGTAATCCTGCTTCTCTCCCTCTGTTTCCCAGCATGGGCTACTGCATCCTTTTTGTGCACGGATTGAGGAAGCTCTGCACTTGGCTGAATCGATGTGGGGCCACCACACTGACCGTGTGCACTGTGCTGCTATTATTGCTTTTCTCCTGGAAAACTGTGAAGCAGAATGAAATTTGGCTGTCAAGAGAGTCCCTGTTCAGGTACGATTAGATGGAGAAAAGCAAATCTCTTCCTATGCATTTCTTTGCTTACATATTTGTTTCCAAACAAATGAGACAACATGGGTCTGGCAATAATCATTAACCCACGGGTTTTTGTTTTTGTTTTGTTTTTAGTAAAGTTTTAAGTGGGAGATGTAATTTTATTTGAGGTTTTAGCTTTAGTCTTTTAAATGGTATTCAATAAAGTTTAATGTGAGCTCATTCTAAGTGAATTTATGAAAATAAGGTTCATGGGAAGGTTTCTGGGTCTGCGGAACCATCGTAATGACGAGCTGGGCTGTAAAATCAGCTATAAACAAAATGAAATGATAAGCCTAACTTCATTATGCAGACAAGTCAATGAGAAAGGTGAGCACCCAGCAGGAAGGAAGAGAAACGCAGGACATTTTCTTTAGACTCTTCTAGGACATTAAGTTGTGATCTGTGATCTCGTTGCTTTATTCTGAACATTAATTGTGAACAAAGAAATGGAAGACTTTTCTCATCTCCTGGTAGGTTTTTGTGTGGTATAGAAGCTGTTTCTGAATATAACAAGGTCACCTGAAAGCCCTAAACTTGTCGTCAAGTATAAACATTCTTCGGGACTGTTGCTCGTCGTACAGTGTTTTCTGGACCTTAGGGCGCCTCACTAATGCCGTAGCCCTAGTGATGACCTTCACCTGGGCTCCCTGGCACTGCCCCACTGGGATCCCAACAGTATTTTTCCAGGTTTCCAGGGATTCCCAGTCTGTGCCCTCTCCCAGCTTCTGTCCTCACTTATGACCCAGTTACCCAATTCAGTCAGTGTGGTTTTTACTTGGTTCTCTGCTCAGCTGATACCCAACACTTATGCTCTGGGAGCAAACAATGGAAACAGAGTTGGGATCGCTTGGGAAAAAAGGGAAAATACTGGAAGAGTAGAGGAAGGTGCACAGAATTGAAGGGCCACTACAGAAGTTGGCACGGAGCAGAGAGGAAACAGGCTTCGGGATAGTCTGTCTTGAGAGCACTTGAGCTCCCACCCAGGAACAAATAGGTAAACTTACATGAGGTATTTTTTTATCTTCACATCAAAGCCCTGGGAAAATTAAGTCCTCTGGCTGAGCTTGAGCTGTATATCACGTGCCTGCCCTTTGTCTCCACCAGGGCACTACAATGAGTGAAGCCCCTCTGACTTCCAGGGAGTTAGGGCAGGCCAAGCACCTTGGGGTTCCACTGAGACTTCACAGAGTGAAGCAAGAGTGAATTTCCCACAGGAAATCCAAGTACTGGAGAAGGGGCACAAACTCTAGCTGCCAAGAATGAACGAACGAACGAATGAATGAATGATTGAATGAACAAATGAACAAATAAGATAAATGTTCACTGCACTCTTCTACTAGCTTAAAACAATATTTTTGATTTTGCTACTTGGCAATTTAACTTTTTTCTTAATAGAAAAAATTAGTTTGGTATGCATGTCTTTTTTTTTCCCAATATTTTATTTATTTACTTGAGAGAGAGAGAGAGAGAGAGAATGCCCGCACCCACGAGCAGGGGGAGAGGGAGAAGCAGACTCCCCGCTGAGCAGGGAGCGTGATGCAGGGCTCGATCCCAGGACCCCAGGATCGTGACCTGAGTTGAAGGCAGCTGCTTAACCGACTGAGCCACCCAGGCGCCCCTGGCACGCATGTCTTACTAGCTTATTTATTATTACTATATCATTGTCATAGTCATCATCATTACCACAGTGGGTACTGTAGAGACCTGGTGATTTTTTTATGAATATTTTTTCACCTTAAGGTCGCAGATTCTGTTCACTCTCTGTCACATCCCTTTACCTTCAAGGCAGTTCTCCCAGACCACAATGGACTTGTTCCCTCTTGCTAACCATGCTGAGGTCATTCTGTAAACAGAGGGGCATGGAATACTCCTGTGTTTACAGAATACAACTTCCCCTCAGTCTCTGTTGGCTTGAATTTTTTTTTCTTTTTCTTTCAGCAGTCAGTGCTTTTATGAGAGACCTTAAAATTGTTCCGCCCTGTATTAAGCCCTTTGCTTGAATCAAGGTACTAACAGAGGTTGGGTCTTCTAATGATGTTTACTGCTTAATCAGAGCAACTTTGGGGTGGATTTTGGCAGGTAGCAGTTTATTTCAAGGATAACAAGTTCATGTTCAAACCCTCTAAGGCTGATGCCAGTTTAAAACAGATAAACAAAAAGCTCATTGACCTCGCATCTAAAAAAACCAGAGGCTTCTGGTTTTTTTAGATGAAAGTGTGTAGTAAGTGACAGCTGATTACTAAAACACAGCCATTCTACATATGTGCTTGAAGAGGTTTTGTGCCCTAGGAGGCCTTTGGTGATCAAATGGAATTTTGTAAAACGTGCACATCAAAGCTTTTGATAGTTTTTAGAAAACTTTGCCTATTACAATTTATGTATGTCCCAAGAAAAGTTTTAAGCATCTGAGACTTTAAGAATATTCTTTATTCTCTAAGACCAGATGTTTGCATGTATTCATCGGTGCTGAGTCATGCTCGAATCAGTTGAAACCAACATTTACCAAGAATCTTTGAAGGAAGATCGAGTTACTGATTGAGTATGGGGACTGGAGTTAGACTTTCTGGCTCCTCTCCGAGTACCACCATTTCATAGCTGTGTGACCTTGGGCAAGGTACCTAACCACTCCATGCCTTAGTTTCTTTATTTTGAAACTTAAAAGAATAATAATAATGTTTCTATTTGGGGTGTAGTGTAAGAATAAATGAGTATGTGAAAGATGCATAAGGCAGTAAATTATTGCTGTGCACTATGTTCTAGGGTATGAGAGAGAGGTGGTGGGAGGCGGGAAGGGGGAGAGAGAGATTATCTGTAGATGAGCTGAAAGTCTGCACGGGGGTCAGACACATAAACACATTTTAACATAACGTAGCAGGTGGTAGACAGAGGCAGCAGGACACTGTGTAAGTACAAGCAGGCTGCTAAGAACAACCCAGGCCTTCAAGAACTGTTCTTTTATAGACCTGAGCTGCATACAGAAAGATGAAAACAACCTAAATTAGCCACAGTGATCAAAACCAAGAACTGGCTGATTTGAGTAAGAAAAATTGGTTATAACTCTAGATAAGGTGATGCCCCTGACAGGGGCATCTGGCTTCTCCTCTGTTCTAAACAATGAACTCACTGACCGTTCCCTGGACATAGGGTCTCATTAAGGCCTCTCTTATTACACGGGGTGGTTTTGCTTGGCAGTACTATGAACAGTCTTACAGAGTATCTCTAGGACAGACCTTTGTGTTGGAGAAAATCCAAATTTCCGTCAAGGCCCAGCCTTTCCAGCCAAGGCGTCCTCTTACCAAAAAGATCCCACCATGTGATGTATTTTTAGGAGGTACAGATGCAGGGCCCCCTCACAGCTTTGTAGTGCCACAGGCAAGAACCTTACACACAGCCTAAGAAGCCACACTTGTGTCTTATCAGAGGCCTGGAGAGAGTAATTGGTCCAAGCTGAACTAGCTGTGAAGGGGAGAAGCCAGGCTTTGAACCCAGATTTGATATAAAAGAATACATAAGCTTTGCTACGCTGATTTTTTACTTTGTTTTCTAAAACTAAGCCCAGTATATAAAAAAAAAGAGAGGGGGAGAGAGCGAGAGGGAGGGGTTGGTTCCTAATCATAGCTGCAAGCTCTATTTTCTTTAATTCTTTATAAGGAACTGTTCTGATAGCCTAACCTGGGAAGAGGGTCACTGCACAGCTCCAGCTGGGCCTGGTAACAGCCCCAAATTTTGCATTTGTTTGGAGTAAGTAATACTGTAATAACACATTTTGGTAAAATCCCCTCTACGCCCCAAATCTTTGAAATACCTGAAAAGGCAGAGAGCACATTTTTCTTTTATTGGCATCTAGTTAAGGGTCTCTCTGAAACCCATTCATGAACAATTTAAGTGATCCACGGACCATCATTTAAGAATTTCTGGCCTAGATTATTCTCCATCTCTGTAGGGAGCACATTTCTGTTTCTTCCTTTCTGAATTGCTAAGCCAGAGAGATCAGCCAACCTCCCGGGGCAGAGAATATATACTGAGGATTGGCAAATTCTTTTGTAAAGGAGTGGATGGTAAATATTTTAGTCTTTGTGGGCCATATAGTGTCTTTTTGCAACGACTCAACCCTGCTGTTGTCTCGGGAACGATGCCAAAGATAATAGGTAAACACATTGGCGCGCCTGTGGCCCACAAGGCCATAGTTTGCTTAGCAATGAGATAAACATTGTGATAGTGAAATTATAATGTTACTATGTCCTGTGGTACCTTTCTGGTTTAGCGTCACGGGTTGATCAGCTTCAGGAATGGTTCTGACCATGTATTGGCCTTGGTTGAAATCTCTGCTCTACTACTTTTCTCGGTCTGTAAACTTTAGAGAAAGGTCTTCAACTCTCTGAACTTTAGTGTTCTCATCTGTAGTGTGGGAGGTACCATAATTCTACCCATCAGGTAGGTTACTGAAGGGATAAAAGGAGATGATCCAGGGAAATGAGTGCTTAGCCCGGAACTTGATTCAAGCTGAGCATTTCGTCCTGTACTAGGCATTCTGAATGTGGCATTGTGCACCCTCAGGTCACAGCAGGGTCAACGTTGAAGAGAATCACAAATCTTTCCTTTCCTGTTAACCTCTGGCTGAACACCGCTCATTATTGTTTTCTCATCAGGAATTCGGGGATGGTTCTCGTGACCTATTGTCCAGCAATGCCAACAAAACAAATTGATGTTCTATAAACTTGGAGATATATCTGAGAGAAGCAGCTTTTGAGTCATTTCTGTTATTTTTCAAGTGTTGTACCAATGAGAGCTGTGAGGGAGAAATGTGAGGTACATGAATGAAGATCCTGAGCTGAAAGGAGATTTTTCTTTGTAATCAGCATTGGGATTATGAATGGGGATTGAGCTCCAACTGCGTACTTAATGAATAGTACGTGTCTTTGTAGAGTAAATAAATGTAAGCTGCCCGTTTCCACCGAAACCACTGGGCTACGAAACAAAAGGAGGGGACTGGCTCTGGAAGCAGAAGCCGCCTGGCCATTTACAGCTACGTGGAAACTTTTGCCTTTGGCCAGTTGCTTATTTCCCCTTTTCCACAAACAACTCATTGTAAAATGAGAGACTGGAAAAACATAGCAGAAAAATACCACAGAGAGAACATAAAGGTCAAAAACAACAATGGAAAAAGCAGTGTGCTCTTCGGATTCCAGTGACCCCACCCACATCTGCTTGCCTGTTACGAATATCATTACTTCCTCTGGCCATCACTGAACAATGCCCCGATCCTCGAAAGGACCATGTTTCCACAGGCCTAATTGTCTGTTCCTCGGGTGATACATAAATTAGAGTCACCATGTTAATCACACAGAGGGAGGGATCAATTCCAGTATGCCAGTTACGTCCATGCTGACATCAAAGTTACTTTTAAAATCTGCCTTGTACCATGCACTACTTATTTCTGGATAGAAAAATCAGAAATTTTCCTGGGTAGACATTGGAATGTTTTTTAAGCCGTTACTAGCACTCCGACCCAGACTCTTCCCCGGTGACTCAATTCACTTTGCGTACTATCCATTTTAAATATTCCATTAAAATCTTGGCTCTCTGTGGCAGTTGTAGGGTCTCACCATAGAGTGACTGAAGGATACTGTGGGTTTCACGGGAACACCCAAATGTCAGCCTTTGTCAATCTTTTGTCTTGGGTGTGTACGTTTCTACTGAGACAATTTCTCCTGTCTCGTCCCTGGGGGTCCAATCCTGGCTGCCAATATTCAGAGAGCTTTGTAAGAGGGGAAACTGAGATCCCAGTGTTCAGAATGCAGATCTTCACCTAATCTACCTTTGAGGTACCACCCTTCCCCCTTCCCCCCATGGTACCTGTCATTCCCGAGTACAGGATCTCTCTAGCTCAGATTTCCAGAGAGTAAAACTCCTGTCTTTTGCTGGAATGGGGAAGGAATAATGAAAAAAGTCACCTGGTGTGCAGGGTCAGGATGGCGATCTGGGCTTTAGCTGCTCCTGAGACAGATTTAGTCTGTGTTCAGCCACACCCCAACCACCATGAAATCCTAGCCACCTGCCCTACCTTTGCAGGCACCGAAGCAGCTTGCCTAAGTTTGGGTCTGCTGCCTTCAGATGATGTTGCCCTCGGGTCAGTCTCTAGCCTCTTGCACTCCCTGTAAGTTCTGTCCTCTGGAGAGTTCCTCAGGTGGCCAGCCAGTGGGTTTTAAGTTGGGACTATCTTTGCTGGTCCTAAGGAACTGGTTATTTTAGGGAAGGTTCAACAAAGATCCCAAAGCCCTTACATATTTCCCCAAGAGATCTTTAACATTTTGTATGAAACCCTTCTATTGATCTTACCTTTAAAAACTAAATGAAAGTGTGTTACCTGGGAGAGGTAGTAGTGCATTAGAGTTGCCCTGACGCTAGGTTGTCCTGCTTTTCTCCTTGCTCTCTCTCATCAGCTGTCCCCCTCCCACATTTCATCCATGCACGGTCTGGGAGTTTTCTTTCCAAGTGGCCCTCCAGCCCATCTTCTTCCATCATTCCCCTGCCACCACCTGCCTGCACCTTGAGGGAATGAGGGACTCTAGAACCCAAGCTAGAATCCTCTAGAATCCCACCTCTTCCACTGACCAGCTGTATAATCTTGTGCAGGTTAAACATGTGGGCTAGTTATAAACGAGAAACAGATCCTCTCCTGCCCCCACCTGCCCCTGGAATCATCTTCAAAGCTTCACTGCTATCCTGTAGGGATGCCCCAGGCATTTCCTTATGGCAGCCCAAGCAGACTAACACAGTGGCCATGGAAGCAGGGTTTTTACCTTTTTGAGCAAAATCCCACTTCCTTATCTGCAACTTGTAAAATAATTATACTTGCATTTATTTATTTATTTATTTTTAATCAGCCCAGGCTTGGGTACATGGGAAATGTTAATTTCCAATAAAACTTAATAGGGAGGCCAGTCTGCAGTCATCCCTCTTGTCATGATTTATTTTTGTAGATGCTCTCAACTTTTTTTTTTTTTAAGGAAGGTTATAGGTGCACAAAAGAAGCAAGGAAGGAAAAAAACTGAATGAACCTGAGCATGCAGGTTTGTTCTGCAGAGAATAATCTATCACCCCGTGCCGCCACCTCTGCTTCCTATCCAGTTAGCATGTTTGTTTAGTTGTGCACACCACCCACTGCCTTCATTGTTTTCCACAGAAGTATGTTTAGTAAGTCACATAATTCATAAATTCTGAAAAACCTGACTTAGATGGATATAACGGACATTCCGAATGCAGGTTCATGAAACTTGAATAAAACATGAAAGAAACCAATGATGCTCCTAAATACAGTTCTTTGTTGCTCTTTTTTCTTTTCTTTAAATGTATTGAATGTAGGTCTGGAGTTCAAACCCTGCCCCACAATGCCAAGGTTCACTACAACTACGCCAATTTCCTGAAGGACCAGGGTCGGACCCGGGAAGCGATCTACCACTACAGAACGGCCCTCAGGTAAGCAGTGCACAATTGTCCGCCGCTGTGCTTCTCAGGCCCTTGTTTGTTCACTCGCCCTCCCGGTGTGTGCTGGGCCGACAGTGGACATCTCCTTGGAGGTGTAAGGATCCTGGACTCTCCATCTTTTGGCCCAGTATTTAAGTCTGTTGTGAATGTGGTAATTCTGCCTTGCTTCTAGTTCTTGGTGTTTTCCTGCAAAAGTTTCCATTGCTACCCACTACTCAGTGAGGTGACGCTTGGTCGAATACACACATGCAGGCAAACAAGAGTTGGGTATTCCAATGAATTCTTCCCACTTTAGGCTTCCCATCGACAGAAAGGATTTATATGAAGATATCTGAGTATAGAAATGAAATACCCTGATAGTTGTATGAAATAGATGGGAAACTAAAAGACACTTGATTACCATATTGGGAATATGTTAGTAAGGGGTACGCATGCCTGTGTGTGTGTGTGTGTGTGTATGTGCTTATATATATGAACAGCCCTGACACTCTCCTTGTACTCCTCTCCTTGTATTCATTTGGAAAAGACTGTACAAAACATAGCTTTAAGTTGTCACTTTAAGAGAAACCACAAAATCAAGCCTGCATTACCAGTGGCAGACTGCTCTTGAGTATTCAAAATTGCAACTCTTACTTTCAAGATGGTCTTATCTAAAAGATTCCACAGGATGAATGTCTTTAACCTGCAAACATGTGGGCACGAGAACTATACATAGCCTCAGAGTCTCCAAATGTGGGCAAAACAAAGAAACATGAGTCTTCTCTTTTATTGTACTATGAGGCTCACAGAAGCTTTTTAAAGAGGTTTCCATGCCCCTAGAGATTGGCCCACATTTCGCTGAATTTTCTGATACTGTTCTGCTTTGGGACATGTTAAAGTATGTATACTGCGGCGCCTGGGTGGCTCAGTCATTAAGTGTCTGCCTTCAGCTCAGGTCATGATCCCAGAGTCCTGGGATCGAGCCCTGCATCGGGCTCCCTGCTGGCAGGAAGCCTGCTTCTCCCTCTCCCACTCCCCCTGCATTCTCTCTCTCTATCAAATAAATAAAATAAAATCTTTTAAAAAAAATTAGAAATTTGACCAGGAAAAAATTAATAAAGTATATATACTGAACACATCTACATTTCCCTCAAGCACATACGAGAATTATCTCAAAGCTTAGTTTGAAATCATCATTCTTAAAGTAACTGACCTGATTTTTAAAATTATCCTTTGAACAATGTTCTTACATAAGTATATTGTTCATAAATCAAATTCTTTTAGACTTTAGGCTCTCTTAGGTAATATTCAATATGGCCAAAATTTTAAGCTGTGCACATCAAGTTCACTGTCAAATACTTTTCCAAAGATACAAGAAATGCAAGTCCCAGAGGAAAATTGTAACAAAACTTTTCATTGAGGAAAAGAAGTTTTTATTAAGGAATAGAAGATCATTTTTAAGATTTAATAATTATATTCTTTCCCTGGAAGCCAATTTACCCAAATGTTTATAGTACGTATCTCTAGTTGGTGAGATTATGGTTTAATTTTTTTCTCTGTACTTTATTTTGTGTTCCAGAGGTTCTACAGTGAACATGTATTATTTTGCAATGTCATTTTTAAAGAGGCATATAGTCCTTCAAGGGTACAAATAAAGTATGTTTTGGCATAATGATTAATTAATGTTTCAGGGTTTTAGATGGCATTCTTGAAGAGAAGAGAGCAGTAAATTTGCCTGAAAAATGGTGGTTGAAAGGAAGTATTATCAATATCCTTTAAAATTTATTGCATTCCAACAGACTGTTTTCTGTCAAGTTCAAGCAGAAAAAATAAGGCAGACCCTAAGGCACACCTTGGGGCAAAGATATAAATTATATAAAAATTCTCCAGTAGCTGATTTTACAGAATTATAGTAGCTGGTTGGGTACTACCGCTTTTTTCCCGTGAAACAATAAAAATAAATGTTTGCTTCAGCAACTGTGCTTCTGGAAGAAACACATCCCTTGAGAAGTGGGGAAAAAAACAATTAAAGCTATAAATACACTGCATAGTAATTAGTGAAATATTTCATCCTCTCAGACCAGGCTCAAAATACTTCTGATTTAAGTAGCATCATTTCTGTGTGGATACCTCTGTGGTGAATTTTCAATGGATGTGGGTGTTTTGTTTTGCTTTTTAATTTAAATTGTCACTCCTTGTGTTAGAGAGAAAAGGAAAATACCAGGACTATTCATCATTTTGATGATTATTCATCCTAGGTGACTGGAAGATGGCCCTTATTTTTTTTTTTTTTTAAAGATTTTATTTATTTATTTGACAGAGAGAGACACAGCGAGAGAGGGAACACAAGCAGGGGGAGCGGGAGAGGGAGAAGCAGGCTTCCTGCTGAGCAGGGAGCCCAATGCGGGGCTCGATCCCAGGACCCCGGGATCATGACCTGAGCCGAAGGCAGACGCTTAACGACTGAGCCACCCAGGCGCCCCAGATGGCCCTTATTTTTTAAATTTAATTTAATTTAGTTTTTTTGGAGAGAGAGCATGCACACAAGCGGCAGAGGGGGAGGGGCAGAGAGAGAATCTCAATCAGATTCCATGCTCAGTGTGGAGCCCAACATGGGGCTCGAACTCATGACCCTGAGATCATGACCTGAGCTGAAATCAAGAGGCGGATACTAAACCGACTGAGCCACCCAGGCATCCTAGACTGCCCTTATTTTGCTATTGCTCTTTCTTTGCTGAAGTTGCTGAGACAGGGATTCTACCCTCTCCCAACTACCTTATCTCTATTTCAACTTCAGTATATTTAATATTTTCCATATTTGCACACAGCAAGAAAGAGAATGATTAGGGAAATGCAGGGCTAACGGTGCTATTATCTGAAATCAGTCCCGACAATTATCCATTTCTGTCGTAATGACTATGTAGATCCCAAAGGCAATGATGAAATTAGTCATTAGGGTTTTATCTATACCAATATCATTTTGTCTGGCTTACAATTCTAGAAATAATGCTACATTAAATTGGTAATTATATATGACAGGAATATTCTGGTTCTTTTAAACCTTCTATGTTTTTTTAAAGATTTATTTATTTCAGAGAGGGAGTTGGGGGGCGCAGAGCAGAGGCAGAGGGAGAGAAAAAATGTTGGAGCAGACTCCCTGCCAAGTAGGGAGCCCAATGCAGGGCTTAATCCCAGGACCCTGAGATCACGACCTGAGCCGAAATCAAGAGCTGGCCGCATAACCGACTGAACCACCCAGGTGCCGCAACCTTATTTTGTTTATTTTATTTTTTAAACAAGATGGAAGTATACTAACTTCTCCTCTGTTTCGGTGTACCTCATTTATGCTATTGTTGTAGTGCAAGGGAAATCTCCCCTGGAAAATGCTGCAGCTGAAGTTTCAGGTTCAGATTAAGACCCAAATCAGCAAAGGAAAATGGCAGAACTCTTAAATCCTTAATGAACACAAGTGTTAGCTTTGCTTTGCTGGGAGGGGCAGCTGTGACATTTATACCTGTTCCAGGTTCTATTAAGTTTGGGATTCTATTGGTTCAGAATCAGGACACCACTGGTAGATCTGCCATATGCCTCCAAAGCTTTCTGGTCATTGTTTAAAACCTGGAAAAGTGGGGCGCCTGGGTGGCTCAGTTGGTTAGGCGACTGCCTTCGGCTCAGGTCATGATCCTGGAGTCCTGGGATCAAGTCCCACATTGGGCTCCCAGCTCAGCGGGGAGCCTGCTTCTCCCTCTGACCCTCTCCCCTCTCATGCTGTTTCTCTCTCTCTCTTTCTCAAATAAATAAAATCTTAAAAAAAAACAAAAACCTGGAAAAGTTTCTAGTGAGTGGAGTAGAAATTCCAGGGACCACCCAATATCTCAGCTCTTCCTGCCCAAAATCACCCATGAAATAATTTGTCCACTAAGCCCAAAGAGAGAGATCGTGGCCCAACCTGGATAATAAGCAGCAGATACTAAATGTGTACTTGGCCAGAGGTTTGTTGATCAGCTTAAAACATCAGTTAAAAGGGGAGAATCATAAAATAAATTATGTACACTCTTGAATGATTTTATTGTACCCTAAAATTTCCCATGTACATCCATTCACCAATCTTCAAATGTCAAACCAAGCTTTTTCCTTTGGGTTAAGAGTGTAATGATTATAATCTGCAAAAATCACACGCATAAGTCATTTCTCTGATCAGGTTTTCATACTTTAAAGTGGAATAAAAATGTAATGACTGTGAGATTTTTGTCCTATAGTTTTTTTTACAGATAATCTACATCTAATCAACAGCAATTTCTTGAGCAAATTCCCTTTTTTGAGTATTTCTAGAGTATTTACATAGTTTTCATAGAAATAACAACTCTCTTTTTTCACATTTATATTTTATCAGTTTGCAAGATATTTCATTACATGGTACGATTGCAATAAAAACTACAACTGCCATAAATTTGTTAACAAACACAACTGTCTTTTAGTCATACAACTCAACTTACAGGATCAAAAAGGCCCATGCTTATAGAGAAAGTTTATTAAGTTGTGGGTATCCACCAATATGTTTCACAGAGAATAGAGAACATCTAGAAATCTGACGACATAGTAAAGAGACTGTTTTAAAAGAGATTTCACTATAGGTGATAGAGTCATGGAAATTATACGTAAAACCCCTGCATGACTCAGTTACTGGTTGGTTAAAATGGGCTGGCCATCAAGAACCCTGCACCTGGGAATGAATAAAGTTCACTTTGTCCAGGCGGGTCAGGAAGGTCTCCCTACTGTCAGCAGCAAATTATCCCATATTCCATGGAGCATTTGTTCACTTAGATGCCCTCTTCCTGCCAGCCCACTATAATAAACACACCCATACCCAGATCTACTAATGCGTCCCAGGTGATTGGATATCAGCCCTGTGCAGTATTCTGTCCTGATACAAGGGCGGTGATCTTCAGTCAGCCAGACTGCTGTTTTCACGGGTATGGTTTCAACATGAAATACACAGTAAATCATCTAAG